ACCCAGCCCTCCATGCCCTTGCCTATTCGTCAGAACTGATTTGAAATATTCAGCTCCTAGTAAAGTCAGTGGAGTTTGAATTACCATTTAAAACCTCCGTAAAGTTCATCTAACCTCTCACAGACCAAACCAAGGTACATTTGACTCATCCCTAATTAGAACTAGAGAGGTAGCATCACTTCATAGACCTAAAACACTAATTTCATGTACAGGTATTTATTGACAGTACGAGACTCTGTTACTGTGAGAAGATAGGAAAATGTGACACAGGATTCACATTTAGGGTGAAAACGATGTTCCAGTCTAATGTTTCTGGGCAGAGAAAGCTAAGGATTTGGCTTTCTCTGGATTCTGCAGCTCTGGATCGGAACATTCAATCCTGTGTCTGGGTTTTGCTAGACACCTGCAATCTTGAGTACACAGGTGTGATGTGTCATTATATACTCAGGTCTGAGGATAGCTCAGGGCTCCCAGTTGGAGATTGCTCTCCTTGGGGAAGACGGAAGGTCTCATTGAGGGCTCAGAGGACCAAGCCAGAAGCCAAGAGACAGAGGTCTCAATTCCAGGAGTCAGGTTCACTCCTATCAGGGTGTCAGGAGACTCCCCATCCATAGGCGGGTCTTGTCTAAAGCCTAGAGAGCCAAGTATCCAGGAGATGTACTGCAATTGAAGTAAGTGAGCTTATGAGCCAAGTGACATGGCATTTCCAGCGCATAGATTTCTGTTGAAGTTGGAAAAGATGCCCTATGTGGGAAATCATTTGTTTATGAACTTTCGCTTTCCTTTAAATAAAATTGGGCTATCAAGCCCTTAAAAATAGTTCCTGTCTGCCATGGACTCACTAAAATAACACATCTACCACAAGAGTTACTACCCCATGTCACAATATCCAATGTATACCTATTCTTCTTAATTTTTTACAGTACAGATCACTTAATGACTTTCTCCCTTGTTGCCTATTACATTTTCTTGCCACAGTTCAATGCGGTTAACCTAATTAACTACTAAATGAAAAGTGAATACAGAGTGAGACTGACTCAGGTCTGTATCATTTCTGTGCCTTTTCTTAAAAAACATGATTGTATAAGTAATATTTCCACAGTAAAAAATATGTATTAATGAAGGTTACTTGCATCATCACTGGTGGTGGTTTAAATGCTACCTGTAATTACTACAAGCATATTATTGTATCCTGTGTGTGTTTATTGTATGATTTTATAGCCATTCTCTATTATTGGTTCTGGATGTACAGTTGGCCAAAGGTCTATAAAGAGAATAATCTTCTTAGAATTGTGATGGAATGAGACATGTACAGTAAATATCTTTTAGTCTAATGAGGCTCTGCTGTACTTTGCAGTGGTTCCTTTTGGCCCACCTCACCACAACCTGTTGGGTTGTACAAAAGTAAATAAAACAACCAAAATTTGCTATAATAATATAAAGTGAAAAAAATGCTGCGCTACATGAAAAATTGCACAATTCCTATATTCACAGAACACTTTATTGATTGGACTTGAGGGTTTGAATGACTTTTGGTTGATTCATACTATTTAATTTTTTTGTGTGGTCTTTGTTCTTTATATATATATATATATATATATATATATATATATATTTTTTTTTTTATTTTTTTTTTTTTTTTTTTTTTCATTTTTTATTTTGTTTTTGATATATAAGAATTGTGCAATTTTTCATGTAGCGCATCATTTTTTTCACTTTATATTATTATTGTATCATTTGCCCCACTGAGACATGGATTGTGTGCTTTATTCAAAATTTGCTATTTACAGTGATTTGCTGGATTGCCTTCTAACCTCAGCAACCATTATGCCCCATTTTCTCCTTTCAATGTTCAACATACTAGGCATTTGTAGTTTGAATACTAAACATACGATAATCAACTATGGATGAAACCTGGACCTGTAACTTAAACCTTGGAAAAGTAATACAAGGTATGTCTGAAGTATGGTTAAGGAGAGATGGCAATGCATATTTATTCCACCATTCCCAATTCCAGGGGGATTAATGTGGTTATATCAATTTTGCAGGAGAGAATTGTAGAACCATGCATAATAAACTTCAAGAACTCCACAACAAAAGTATTATTTTAACACATAACGTGTTTTAAAGTTTAATAGCTCCAACTTCCTCTAGGTGCCAAGCGTGAAGGTAGGAGCGACATGAGCCCCATCGTATGATAACCTGTATCTGGGGGGGTGGGATCAATCTATCTTCTTTTCTGAACATCTGTCCATGTACCTCTGCCATATTCCTCTCTGGCGGAGGTAAATACTTGACATTTTTATTTTTTGGATGGGCTCTAGGGCCTTGTTACTTTACTTTGTTAAGATACCGAACAAAAAGTATTTCAATTTGACATATTCAGTGAATTGTGATTATCATTCATTACATTTTTTGGACTTGACTATCTACATGAAGGACAATGAGATTTCCCATGGGATGGGAAATGCTTTTTTGCATCATAATTAGGTCAATACCTGCAAGTCAGGAGAAATTGTACTGATGATTTGGAGTTTGATTTAGTGAGATAGAGTAAAGTAAGAAATCCCTTAAAAGGGTTTATCATAGGGCCAATAGTAGCCAACAGGACTTGCTTTTGATCCAGGACAAATGGAGACAAGATATTGGGAAGATGCACCCTATCATCAAATTCAATCAATTTAAAATAAAAAAACAAGGATTTTTACTTCTTTTTTAGTTTGCTGGAAAGGGTATATAGTAGTATGCAGAGGGTTCATCCAGAATTTCTAGTGTTATCAAGTGGTTATACCCCTTTAGCACCTGATAAATAAATGTATTTACAGTACAAGCAATTGGGATTTGAGCACAGGTATATCTTGTTTATGCTGGTAAAGATATCATGTGTGTTATTACTCTTTCCTCAGATGGTTTCCAAAACAATTTTTGAATTTGTATCTTTCTGAGAGTTTATATTTTTCAGTAATTTGGAAAAAAACGTGGAAGCTCTTCTCTTCTCTGAAATGTCCCTTGCTTTTGGCTATCAATTTATCTTCCCTCCCGGGTGAGTGATTGATCTATACATTTTAGAACCCTTATCTTAGTTTATGGATAGATTCATCTTATTTCCCTTTGGATTTGGAAAATAGGCATGGGATATTTACATGTTTAATTTTACATCATGTATACTAGATTTATTCACTCCCCATTCCGATTCCTTATGACACCCAACAGGCTGGGGGAAGAATGTGGTTTCTTCTCTGCAGTCATGTTGTGGTGGGCAGTTGATTTAAAATATAAATTATAAAAAATAAATAATGTATGCTTAGATTTTGATTTTTGATTCAGTCAATAGTGTCATTCCATTGTTCCTTATTTTTTGTAATTCTAAGGTTTACTTCTTGTTGATGGATCTTAGTTTATTATATTTGTGTAACGCACATCCTCAGTCTTAAGAAGCGGAATAACTGTGAAACACATAGACTGAATACAATACACTGTATTGGGATATCTTTATGCTTTCAGGAGCATATCTAACAAGAAGATCCAATTTATGTTGTATGTCTTGTTGGACTTTATCATATGAAAAAAAGTGTATTTTGTAGCTGTTAATATTGGTGTATGGATAAGAATAATTACTCGGTGCATATTTAAAGTCCCTTACATATTACTTGTCTCAAAATAACTACTCACTTCCTGTCTGAATGCCTGCAACAAAATACTTTTTTTTTGTAAAAAGAGGAAGGGTGAGCACCCCAATCTGGTTACTATTATGGTTTAGGTTTGCCTGTTGTAGTGACAGCTGTTCTGATTTTTTGTCCTATGACCAGGATCGGAAGTAAGATACAATCTACTACAGAGACATATATAGTGTGAACTGAAAGAAAAGGTTGGTCTAAAGCTGAAGGTTAGTTCACTTTAAACCACTTGCCTACCGGAACATTTTTTAATTTTTTGCACACATCTTAAAAATTTTTTGCTAGAAATTACTGTAAAAACCCCTCAAAAGTATACATTTTCTGAAAGCAGAGACCCAGGAGAAATGGTGGTTATTGCATTTTTTATGTCACACAATATTTTGCAGTTATTTATAAAATGCAGATTTTTCAGGAAAAAATACAATAAAATTAATTTTAGAGCCAAAAAAACACAATAACATGCCAATTTTTTGGTAAAATATAAAAGATGGGGTTAAAGCGAGTAAATAGATACCAAAAATGTCAAGTCCTAAAATTGTGCAAGCCCATATGAAATATGTGTGAACAGTATAGGTGAAAAAAGTGAAAGAAACCTAGCACACTAACTATACGGCAATATATACAAGCAAAGGAGAAGCATGGACAAACAGGGCATAACAAGAGATGACTGGGAATAAGGGGTGCATAGATGAGGTAACAGGATACAGGATAAAGCAAGGATCAGGATAATCAGCAAGCAGGTATGTTGCTAACAGGAAAAACACTGAAGCATTGCTGAAAATCAAGGGAGGGGATATATACCTTCCCAGCAGGCAACATCAGATGGAGTCTAATTACTAGGAGCTACTGTCTGCTGGGAGATACTTGCTGGTGGCCACCAGGACTGCATCCTTCAGCTCCAGGAACCACTATTAAACCCCCAATGTCTTCCCTGTCTTCATGTTTGAATAGCTGCATGTAGCTGCAATACACCAGCAAAGGAAGGACAATTATGACCCTGCAAGTAGCAGGAGGGATGGGAGAAACAGAATTTCCAGAAGTTCCTCCTACTTTCACTGTAGAAGCTGTTTCTTGTAGTCCCAGACTTTAGAGCAGCCCAATCACTTTTATAGGTAAGCCCTTTGCTGGTTCTTAAAGCCGGTACCAAGCTCGCAGCTGCAGCAGCTGTGAGATTGATTTAACCACTTGTATACCATGCCATTTATAAATGTACCTTGGTAGACAAGCAGTTAATGGCAAATTTCCAAGAACTCCTTCATGTATTCCAGCATTCCCAACACATTACATACTCCTCAGCTGTTCAAACAGTTGCTTCTGTCCCCCTCCATCAGGGGCGGACTGACCATTTGGAAACTCGGGCACTGCCCGAGGGCCCGGGGTCAGTATGGGGCCCCATGAGATGCCCCTGGTACCTTTTTCATAGGCTTTTTTGAGTTTGGCCAAGGACAAAGGGGCCCCATGATCCCCTATTGCCCAGGGGACCCATGAGTTGTCAGTCTGCCCCTTCCCTCCATACATGTATTCTGTGTACAGCCTGTCCAAAAAACCTCATTAGTATCTAACCTCCCTCCATCCTGCCTTAATAGAAGAAAGGCAAACCACAAAAATACAGAAATGAGCTCCAGACCAAAATCAGGTATAAGAGTCCAAGATAATTGTAATTGTTGTTAAAAAATGTTATATAAACAGTCAACACATTTCAGGGGCAACTCTACTTCTCCTTCATAGATCTACTGTATATTAGAACCAGTACTGAACTTTCCTTGTGGAGGAACATCCTGACAGCAGTTGCTGAGCAGCAATGGAATGACAGGGAGGGCCAGATGGTAGAAGTGCTTCTCCAGTGGCCTCTCTGGTTCATTCAAGTGGTATGCTCCCTCTGCAGCAGCGGTGACTGAGCACTGCAAATAAGAATGCACTGCACTTTAGGGGTCTGGCCATTCCCGCTGTTAAGGCAGAATGGAAAAGGGTCAGTTAGTAAAGATTTTTTTTTAACAGGCTAGCCTACATGTATGGGAAGTGGGAAAGGAGCAACTATTTAAACAGTGAAGGAGAGGTATGTATTATGCTGGGGATGCCAAAATGTATAGGGTATGTTTAGGAAAATGGCCAATAAAGTTCAACTATCCCTTTAAATAACAGTCTAGCTGCATGTAAAAGCTATAAATGCATTCAAGCGTAGATAGTCTCGAAGGTGACAATTAATTTATCTACTTGGTTTGGTATCTACCTAAATATTAAAAATATGTTTTGCTGTGTTTTCATGGATATATTCTTTTCTTGTATCTCATGTAAGACTTACAAGTGTGTCGCCTACATGACATTCCAAGTATTATTTTATTTGTGAATAGCGAAACCACTCATCAATAACTCACTGTACTTGAGTGACTGGGAAATGTCAACAGCTGCTACTTTCAACCAGTATGCACATTTTCTTAATTACTTCTAAAATACTGTTCTTATTGTGGCTGTTTACTGTAAACATTACATTTGTTTCACATTGTCATTTTTCAATACAGCTATAAACCTTTTGCAGTCACATTTAAAATTGCTCCTACAGAAACCTATATATATTTTTCTCTTTTAAATCGAATCAGAGAACTTTTCAAAACTCACTTTGGCAAATACTTTATGCACAGAACTGATATCAGGCAAGTAAGTCATTATATTTGATAACGTTTCATCATCAAATATCTTATAACACAAGTTCAGGACCTTTAAGATGAGAACTAGTAAATAGGTTGTGGAAATAGGGACTGGTGCTTTCATATTCCCTAGTGCAGGGATCTTCAAACTTTTTAAACAGGGGGCCAGTTCACTGTCCCTCAGGCCGTTGGAGGGCCAGACTATATTTAAAAAAAAAAAAATTGCTATTAGTAAAATACCAATATATATATACAGTGGGGCAAAAAAGTACTTAGTCAGCCACCAATTGTGCAAGTTCTCCCACTTAAAAAGATGAGAGAGGCCTGTAATTGGCATCATAGGTAGACCTCAACTATGAGAGACAAAATGAGAAAAAAAATCCAGACAATCACATTGGCTGATGTAGATACGGCTGGCGCGGCGAGTAAATGATAGAGGGGTGGAGTCTATGATCTCTGGAGGGGCTGCCTGCAGTTCTCCCGCGCTGGGCAGTGACAGACAGCCGAGGAGAAGGACACTGATCAGACTGCATTGAATTGATGGACACTGGTGAGGCTGCATTAATGGACGAAGCTGCTTGCCTATTGCAGATTCAGTCTTCCCAGCCTGGTGCAGGTCTACAATTTTGTTTCTCGTGTCCTTCCACAGCTCTTTGGTCTTCACCATAGTGGAGTTTGGAGTGTGACTGTTTGAGGTTGTGGACAGGTGTCTTTTATACTGATAACAAGTTCAAACAGGTGCCATTGATACAGGTAATGAGGACAGAGGACCCTCTTAAAGAAGAAGGTACAGGTCTGTGAGAGCCAGAAATCTTGCTTGTTTGTAGGTGATCAAATACTTATTTTCCACCGTAATTTGCAAATAAATTCTTTTCAAATCAGCCAATGTGATTGTCTGGATATTTTTTCTCATTTTGTCTCTCATAGTTGAGGTCTACCTATGTTGCCAATTACAGGCCTCTCTCATCTCTTTAAGTGGGAGAACTTGCACAATTGGTGGCTGACTAAATACTTTTTTGCCCCACTGTATATATATATATGTTCCAATACATACTCTGTTTTCTTTTTTGTTGATATATATATATATATATTTGTTATTTTTTTTAGGAGGGGGTGAACTTTAAAAATATGAATCTCTTCCCATAGATATGATTTTGTGCACATAGAATATAGGCACATCTTCATTAAAATAGTTGGACTATACTGTACAGTATTTCAAGCAATAATTGCTAGGACAACAAACATATTGAAATTTTTTGAAAATATGTAATGTACAGCACAGCCTTTATTGTGCAGCAGTTAGGAATAGGTACTGTACATATCAGCTTACAGAGCTCAATGGTCTGCACTGAATGCTTGTGTAGAGTGGCCAGTGTAGAGCCTCCTTACAATGGTGATGGTTTAGAGAGTGTTGCCCACTTACATTGTTGGTCAATGACCCCCTTATACTGGTGGTTAGTAGAGTATTTTCCCTTACATTAGTGATTAGTGGTGAAGCTCCCCCTCGAACTGGAGGTCATAATAGTGCACCTATACAATGGTTGCCAGTGGTGAATTGGTTTCTGTATATTGTGTATTTTCTCTAAAATTAGTGATTAGTGGTGAACGCTCACATAATACTGTACATAAGTATTTACAAGTGAATTGGTTTTGTATATTGTGCTGCCCCTATACATTGGGGGGTCAGTGGTGAAATGCCCTTTTGCAAAGGTCAGGCTAGTGCTCTGTTACAGTAGTGGACATTGGAGATCAATGGAGAGTTTCACCTTTACAATGGAAGTTAGTGGAAGTGTTAACCAAACAGATAAATGATGGGCACTTACCTAAGAGAGATTCCTCTGCTTCTATGTCTCTGGATGAAGAGATGAAGATGAGCAGACTTCAAGAATTTGCCCCAGTATTGGTAGTCCAGATTTGAAGACAATCTTTTTTTTCTGCTCACTAAATAGCACTTTAGTGTGCTCAGCACACATTGCTGAATCTTTATTTGTATTCCCCACTGTTAATTATAATGCCCCTTTAAAACAAACTGATAGAACTTATGATTACCAATATTTCTATTCAAGTGTTAAACTAGCTACATTCAGTACTAAATCCACCTTTGTGAATACGAATAAACTAGATCTCAAGGGATCAAATTCAGGCTATGTTGCAGTAATTCAATATATTTGAAGCATACATTCAACAAAATCCTACTTACAGGTATATTTTTTAGACAGAAAAAATCTTTGCATTTACATTGATGTCTGATATTTCACACTTTAAATCTATGGATAGTTCCCAGCAGTGGCAGACATTGACATTGATTAGAAAAAATTGGAAGCTGAAAGTATAGAGATGCACATAGCATCCAGTTAGATTACAAAACTAGAACAGCTTAGCTTAGAACAGATCAATATACTGTGTAAACAGAAAGACAGACAGATCATTTGAAATTAAGATAGATAGATAGATAGATAGATAGATAGATAGATAGATAGATAGATAGATAGATAGATAGATATTGCAGCTATTCTAATATTACCCCTCTGCAACCAGACAGGTAAAGAGCAATATTCTTCAGTTTGTAAATTGCTAGGTTTACTGCAGACCTCAACTTGAATAGCTTAGTCTTAAAAACAAATCTTCAGTCATCAGCTGATGCCTTCTGTTTGTTTTCACAATAGGTGACATTTGTACCTTTCTAATGAAACCAAAGGCCATTGCTGTATTTCTGTGTTTAGATTCTTATGGATGCCTTGGCAGAAGTGAAAGTCACAGCTAACATCTTTTGTTTGCTATTCAGCAATATAATGGTGGCAAACGTGCAGTGTTAAAGGTCAGACAGGGAAGGTGACTGTGAGATGACTTAATTCTTCAGAGGTTTATCAAAATCTCCTGTCAGTCACAATCATGCTGGGAGATTGGGAACTAGCCATCTGGTTGCGAGACATTTTAAAGAGAGTGCAAAAAGGTGAAACATCTCTTTGGGAAGCTAAAATGAAGGTAGAATGAGTTTATACATTTTCATTTCTTCCTCATTTACCATCACAAACGTGTCAGGTGACCTTGCAATTGCTTGAAATGCAGCAATATGGTCACAAATATATAAAATATGCAACACATAAATAGTTGATCTCTGACAAAAAACCTGCACTCCTTGGACAGAATATTCATACATATTATTATAGTGCCACTTCAAAAATGATTACAATATCAATCCCCTTATAGCATAATCTCCACCTTCACCCCTGAAGATGCAAATAATAATAATGATAAATATGCCAAAAATAAATAAATAAATCCCACCAAGCAAAAATAAAAAAAAGTGAAATATAAAGTCCAAAATAAAGTCCAAAGTTCAAAATTTAAATATAATAAACCACACAAATGTCCCTCCTGTGTAATATAGGTGATTAAAAAAATTGTCCAAGTTATTGAGCCTCCCAACGGCTTCCACGACAAGTGTTACCTCAAAAAGAAAAGAAACAATACATATTGCATTATCCTTTATTAAAATAATCTTAACAACAGTATGTGAATTCACTATAGTGTGTCGCACACAAGTGACCCTTATTCAGTGAAAAAATAAGTGAAAAACTTATGTGAAACAAAAACTTGTATGTGAATCACTCTTCAGTGCCAAAAATCAAGCAAAACAGTGTGCACTTCTAATTCAAGTAAGGAGTGAATACCCTTACCAATAATCAATATCTATCTCGCCTTATTGCCATCCAGATACACAACGATAAAAAACATAGCCCTCCTGGAGAGATCCTCAAGGATTACCACACTCCCACGATGACACCTCAGCTCTAATGCTGCCTCTGTATTCATTTACTGGACATCTCTCCCTCACAGGGCCCTGTGGGGGAGAGATGTCCGGTAAATGAATACAGAGTTTACCCTA